GTACATGATATGGGGACCCTTATTCCGAAAGTAGTACAAAATTAAACAGGGTAAAAAGGCACTATCATCAAAAATCGATATATTAATACCACCGTATAGAGAAAACAAATACTTATTTTTTGATCCAGTACAGAATAAAGTCTTCGTAGGGAGTAATTTTTTATAATTATTTACAAAAAAACATTTCCATTAGCGCTTATGACCAAAAAAAAACTTTAAACATGAATAATCATTTCAATCATGCGAAAATTTGGTTTAAAAATAGATTTTTTAATATAACTCTCATATTTTATAAAATTACACTAGGCGTGTCAATTTGAAATTATAATAATTAATCCGATATAAAAATATCGGTAATAATATATTAACATAATGAAGCATACTTCGTTTTAGTACTATTTAAATATTAATAAAATCCTCCTGCAAGAAATTGTATGATTATTTCATATTAAGTTAAGTCGCCCGACGCCACTGGCCCTTCGACTATGTTCGGCAAATCGGCCGCTATCTTTTGGCTGCTAAGTTCACATCAGTGCATTTTAATTCGATTTGGGCTCCCTTATATAGGATAACAGAAACATTTTCAATGTTAAAAAAAATTTTGTATTGGCACAAGTAGCGTAAAACGAGAAAAGCAAAGGGTAGAATATAAAATGCTAAGTAACCTGCCCTATATAAATATCTCAAACATGCCAATTTTGGACTTAACATAGTTTGCTTCTAGGGTACAGTATTATTTACCAAAAACGTATAGTATTTTATAGTATTACTCTTTTATTTGTTTTGTGTCTAGTGATATCAAATGGAATTCCAATTTCTTAAATTTACTATCAACTAAATATCCAAAATGATCATTTCAGATCGTACTGTATTTCAGATATATTTTGATTTTATTTCTGATATTTGACTTTATTATCGATATTTTCCGAGGATTTCAATAAAACAGAAGCAAATATATCCCATTTTATGCAATTTTGTTTGCCAGCGATCTGATACTGTATACCGGGTGTTTTCCAAAAGGGCTCACCCCTATAAACTTTTTATTTTTTCAGATAAAAGAACAAGATTTGGTGTGTTGGTATGAAAAACATAATATGACATAAAATTAGCATTGAAAATTGACGTATTCAATTATTATCTTCTGTCACTTTCTGGTTCACAGAAAATTACAACGACTTTTGATTTCTAAATTGTACCTACTCTCGGTTTTTGTTTACTTTCTTTGATAGAAAATGATATTCTGAAAATTGAATTTTTATTCTAGCGAGCTGTCTTATCGACATTTAACTAGATTTCATGTAATTTTTGTTGTTGGCCTGTACGGCACAATTTCCATTGATATTTCTATGTAATCAATTATCTTTCTTTTTTACAGAAGATCTTAGGGGCTGGTCTTTCAAACCTTTTAAATGTATCTTTTTGTTCGGTTTTCATCAGTTGTCTTGCCAGTAAGGATGGGATTTAATTTTCTTACAATTCGTAAGCAGCAATGAATTCTTAACTTCGTCCTTAACATTTTTAATTTATTGAGAAGTTGTTTATTTGTCATATAAAATGGGGCTCCAGTTAACATGCGAAGAGATTTGGATTGAAATCGTTGTATAATCTCTATGTTTGATGTGGATGATGTATCCCACAATTGCAAGCCGTAGGTCCAGATGGGTTTTAGTATGCATTTATCCAGTAACACTTTATTTTTTAAAGATAGTAAATTTGCGTCCCATAAGCCAGCAAAGTTTCATTAACTGCTGATCAAGTGCTATTTTCTTGTTCCATGTAGGCGTTTTCCAAGTCAGTCGTCCGTCCAAATGTATACCTAAATATTTGACTTCGTTAGACTGTGGTATTTTTATTTGGTTTAATTCTACTTCTGGGTAGGTTTCCCGTCTCAGGGTGAAAGTGACTTCGTTTATATTTCGGTTAAATTTCTTTTCAATTTTTACTGATGCATCAAAGGTGGTTTTATCAACTGCAGTATCATCAGCAAATGTTCCCGTTAGTGCGTCTTGTATGTTTGGTAGATTAAAAGTATATATTAGGTAAAATACTGGGCCCAACACGCTGCCTTGCGTAACTTTATGAAGACATGTGACTGTGACACTGTCGCCGTATTTAATATAGAAGTGTATTGGCTAAGGTATGACTTTATAAAGAAATTGAGTTATGATTAAAAACACGATTGGGGTATATTATAAGGTACTTTTAGACTATCAGTTCAGTTTTCCGTTCAGTTTCAATTTCAGTTCAGTTCAAAAATAACGATCTATTTAGAGGGTCAGTTCAGTTTTCCGTTCAGTTTAAAAATAACAATCTATTTAGACAATCATAGATCATAGATCAAAGACTAGGCTTCTAAAGAGAATATAACTGTCTCATGTAAATTCAATGAAGGAACTTCACTTTGAACCTTCTGATTGGTCAAACTATTTACGAATGAATGAGGATACTTAGAGAGAATTGCTGTATTTAGTGACCAAAATTATAAAAAAAAACTAATCGCCACACTAAAGGCTAAGATTTTCAACTGTAAGATTTTTGGCAACTGGGAGTTCTTACCAACGTCATAGGTTTCCTACAGTAATATCAGCTCATTTTTATTATCTGGTTGTACCATACGATCGAAAAAACGGCGACAAAGACAGCTGGGGAATGACAATGGAGGATAATGTTGGCGAGGTGAAGCCCTAGACGTCGTTAATTGGCCCCCTACTCTTATTTATTTTTTAATACCAGTTGGCCTTAAGAAAGTTGTAATTTATATTTATATTGAGTAAAAATTATTTTTAAATGGTGTAGTTAAAAAAATTAGAAAATAAATATTTCTTTAGAAATAGATTTGTGTGTTTGGAAACGTTGTATACTTTTTAAATCTTTCTATGATTAGTGTTAATTTTGACCACTTTTATATCAATTTTTAGTAAATTATGTCTGGAGATCTGGGCCCGTATTCTGTAACTTTGACATAAAAACGTTACGCTTTCAAAGCGGCGAGCGCAAGTATTCGATCAGCGAAACGCAAGGCAATCAATTTTGGTATTCTCGTTGCCATGCGAATCGTGTTCTGGATACGTGTTGAGCACATACTGGCAACATCACAATTTCTAATGTAGGTAATAGTCAAAAGTTGAACTGACGGATGTAACAATGAAAAATGTCAATGTTACGTGAATTTCATAACCTATTGTTGAGTTATGTCAAGCTATTTTTCTATGGATATGTCATAATTCTTATTATACGAGGGAAGTGTTGAAGACGCTTCTCAGCATTTTCGATGTTTTGAACAATATTTATAGCTGCCAAGTCGTAAATTATCAATTACTTATTGAGGAATTTATAGAAGAAGTAGTAATTTTCACTAAAGAGCAAGATAATGCATAAAATCACAATTTTTTTGATTTTCATTGACAGTTCGACAAGCAAAACGATCCTTTAAGGCAACCGTTTTCAAAGCGCTCAGCGCAATCAGTAAAGACACTAAGCGCGTCAGACGAAAATACCGAAATCGTTAATTAAGTGCGCGCTCAGCGAAAATTAACGTCATATACGCTGAGCGTCTAAAAGCGCTTAGCGTTTTCAAAGTTACAGAATACGGGCCCTGAGTTCGCAAAAATTATTAACGATTGTCATTTCCGAGCCGTCTTTGACGCCGTTTTTTCAATCATAGGGCATTTCATTAACAGAACATTATAACCAGCTTCTCTTTTGTGACTGTTATGATAATGCGGGTCCTTTTTCTCCTCAAGCATGGGTATTTTTCATAAAGTTTCATTGAGAACCTCGGAATCAGTGGAATAAATTAGTAGTTTCAATTAGCCATAGAAGTTTCTTCATCTAATTTTAATGTAAGCATTCAGAACGTCATAATTAGTGGTAGTAATTTTCAATTATTGGAAAAAGTTAACAAACTTTTGATTTTTCCATTTATACTTCAAAATTTGCGAGGAATGTCATTTTGGTCTTTGATTATCACCCGTCAAGAAAAAATTTGGTTAGAAATCAAAAGTTTATTGTTTTATAAGCTAAATATTATGCTTTCTTTATGGATACAACAGACTACCGCAAGCTATTGCTAGGATATTTCATTAATTTTAATTGTGTTTTTTAGACATTGTGAATGATCGTAAACTAAAAAGTATAAAGTGTAATTTAAACCAATAATTTATTCCACTAATTGGGAGGTTCTGAATGAAGCTTAAAGCTCAATAAACTCCATTACAAAGTCGTGTTTGGACATTGCGTAAGATATATGTCATATTATGCTAATGCAAAAACTGACACATGAACTTCGGAAAACCCATCGAGCCAAGGCTCCGTTTCAGTATAAGTTTTTCATCATTTTTCAGTCACTTTTTTGTGTTACACGATAACTGACAACTGAACTGAAACTGAAGCTGAACGGAAACCCGAACTGACCGTCTAAAAGTACCTTCAACTGGTCAGGGAACATCAGAAAAAACCTAGACTATCAAGTGCATTTTTCCAAGGTTCCTTGATTAAAAATTAATAGTTATATCACATGGTGCTCTAGAATGAATTTTAAAATACTATTTTTATAATCAAAAACATCAAAAGTTGACATATGATGTAATTTTCTATCAAATAAACTAAATATATATTATATCGAGGATAACATTTATAATTCAAAGGTTGTAGTAATTTCCGGCGAAACACGAAGTGACCGAAACTAATGAACATACCAAATCTCGTTTTATATCTGAAAAAATAACAAAGATATATATGGGTCGGGCACTTTTGAAAAAAACACCCGGTATATCAAATTTTATGCACTTTCCTTGTATTTATTTTCGATGACGCAGCTATTTCGTATGCCAGCGAGCTCACACAGTATATGTCACGATAAAAGAACGGGGGGAAAAAGCCAACCTAATTTAAAGTTAAATCGTCTGGGGCGCTTTGTCTGAACTCGTGCATTCGAATAAGATCAAATTGCGTTGCAAGAAAAATAACGACTAAATTTCAACGGCTATTTGTTACACTACCTGCTCGAAAGTCCTTTAGATCCTTCAGCTCTTTCACGGCCCGCAGCTCTTCCAGGCTTCCTTTTGGTCCTTTTTTTCCAAGCAAGTGTGAAAGAAAACGTACTTCAATTAGATTATAATATAAATAACGTTCTCAACTTTAAAAATACTGTTTAAAAATAACAATAAAATGCCGTTTTGTGAATAAAAATATCCGAATACCTCCGAAGATACTCGAAAAAAAAGCGGAATATTGTTAAATAATTTTTAACTATATTTGTATTTATTTGGAGACATATTTTACAACAAATGTATACAGGATGTACTAACCATGCATTAGAAGCTTTTAGATAACTACAATATTTAGATCGGAAATTTTTAACACCTCCATTTCACAACTAAAGTTTCAAGTTGTAATTGTCCCTATACTACCAGCGAAATAACCCGAAATAGATCAAGGTTGGATAACTTTGTGTCGTCTCGGTTTATTTTTATTAGACGAGGAAACATGAGATAACCCTCTTCGACTATTCGACTTTGACCTACTTCGACTTATTTTGCGAATAGTGTAGTAGCTGTTATAGACTACTAGTTAAAATCAAGAAAAATATACGCTTAAAAACTAAATCTTAGACAACTTGAAAACGATTTATTTTAGGTATAGGAACATGTATAATCAAAAAATAACGAATTGAAAAACCTTTTCACAACTGAAATAAAACAGGTAGGTTTCTAGACTCACCGGCACAAAAAACGGGCACCTTAAAATTTTGATGTACCTTAAGGTTTAATATATTTTGTTCTAGTCCGCCGATTTTGATGATTTTTTAAGCAATATGTAGCTAAATTATTTGGCTTTTCAGTATTTCTTTCTAAATTTAAAACGAAAGTTTCCATCTGACAATTATACGGGTGGGAGGGGGGAACAAAATGTTAATGTTGTTGTGAAAGTTTGGTGTAAAGGTTTGGTTGAAAACACCCTGTGGAATATGTTAAGACAGCAACGAATTTTGTTATCTAGATATGTACTTTCTCAATAGTTTCTTTTTTAGTTCATCTCAATAACCTTATTTTTGTTGGAAATATTCGCCTTTGAAGAAGACTAACATTTTTTCATAATTTTTATATTAAAACCATGCCTTTGCTTTTAGTCCTAGTCAAAAGACCTAGTAAGTTGTGGTCCCGAAGCAAAACTTCACTTAAATGTACGTTCCGTAGGGGCAATTCATTGTAAATTTGAAAAGCTGGATAACGGCGGTTTTCTAGCGATAAACTTACAATAAGTCGATTGTCTCGATTCGAAGTTCTTGTACGAAGGTTCCTGCGCGTTTAGCATATGAACTTGTTTCGAGGAAGCGACTGCACAGTACTTTGTGCGCACCTAAATCTGTTAGCTACATCGACATCAGCTGATACAACTTCTGAACAAACCATCTCTGCTAGAGTAACTGCCCAACAGAAAATAATAATATGATTTTTCAATAACAGTGACATTACATAAATCATGAACACTATTTCACAGGTCTATTAATAGCCTAAGAGCTGACGATATATTTAGAGAACATATTTTAGGCAAGCTAGAATAACTAAAAATGTATAGTTTATTAACTGGTGAACCCAGAATCCTAAGTCTGGCTGGGGGGTTGGGGGTATTTCGCTACTGCGCAACCCATAACATTTACAAAAATATAAATCCAAAAAACATTCTTTAGGCAACTTGAAATTTCTTTATTCTTAAATTTTAACATCTATTTAACTTAGAAATAAGTGTGCCAGACTTTTTTTTCGGGTTTAAAGTGTAACCAGACCATTCCAAATATGTTTAATTATTATATCTGGAAAACATACTTTAGGCATTTTAAAATTTTTACAGCGTGTTTATTTGATGATATTAAAAAATATGTGTTAATTGCCAGACGAATTCAATGGGATTTAATACTTGCCAGACGCGAATAAAGATTTTAAATGAGCGCGATAAGAAAGTCTTATGAGTATCTATAAGCGCGAGAAAGATAGTTTATTGAGACCCGGTCGGCAGCCGATGCGGCTGACGTAACAGCATTTTGGAGTCGTAAAACTTAAAAAACTAACTGATATTGAATAAATAAAAGAATCATTTTTAATAAAATGTATGATTGAAATCCTTTCAATAAGAAGACTTTTTAATTTAAATATTTTGTATCTGAAAGAATAAAAAAACGAATAATTATTTAAAAATAAGCATAATATAAAATATATTTTTTTCAAACGTCACAAAAGTATAATTATTATTATACTTTTGTGACATATTATATTATTATTAATTTTTGCGACCTGATTGACAATATAAAAAAGTAATTTTAACGCCTAAGCATAAAAGTAAAGCACTTCTACTTACTTTTGAATCTATTTAGAAAGATTAACAATGGTACTTTAATAAAATTCTAGAATACATATTTTTTTAGCACTATACATGGTACCCTTTTGTCGGGACTACGTTTTCTGGTAAAACCATTTCTTTAAATTTTAAACCATGTTGTTGGCGCACTTTTAAAAATTCTTTGCATTTTTGTAGTCTGCCTTCATCAAAAACAATAACTTTGTCACTAGTAACTTTTTTACAAACTATACAACTTAAATGTTTTTTTATCCATTGTGATTTAGTAGTTAGTAGCAAAATTAGTAGTTACTAAAATATTTATTTGCAGTAATTATTCTACACTATTTACACTATGCACGTCAATATTTAATTTATAAATACATATTTGTACATGGTAACTTAATTCCACAAAAATAATCTTAGAATTAAAAGCCTGCTTGAAATGAAACAGAAAAAAAAATTGTTTTTATGAAAATTTGAAGTACTCCAAAATACTGTTATGTCAGCCGCATCGGCTGCCGACGGGTCTCAATAAACTATCTTTCTCGCGCTTATAGATACTCATAAGACTTTTTTATCGCGCTCATTCAAAATCTTTATTCGCGTCTGGCAAGTATTAAATCCCATTGAATTCGTCTGGCAACTAACACATATTTTTTAATATCATCTAATAAACACGCTGTAAAAATTTTAGAATGCCTAAAGTATGTTTTCCAGGTATAATAATTAAACATATTTGGAATGGTCTGGTTACACTTTAAACCCGAAAAAAAAGTCTGGCACACTTATTTCTTGGTTAAATAGATGCTAAAATTTAAGAATAAACAAATTTCAAGTTGCCTAAAGAATGTTTTTTGGATTTATTTTTTTGCAAATGTTATGGGTTGCGCAGTAGCGAAATACCCCCAACCCCCCAGCCAGACTTAGGATTCTGGGTTCACAAGTTATTAAACTTTATTTTTTTTGTTATTCTAACTTGCCTAAAATATGTTCTCTAAATATGTCGCCAGCTCTCCGGCTATAAGGGGGACCAAAAGCAAAGGCATAGTTTTAATGTGAAAATTACGAGAAAATGTTGGTGTCTTCTTCAAAAACGAATATCTCAAAAAATATATAGCTATTGAGATGAACCAAAAAATAAACTATTGATGCACTAGAAGATTATTTTCAAGTTTCTTGCTTTTTCAACATATTCCAGTATTCTAAATTTTCACAAAAATAACAGCATTCGTGTCCCCTTGTACACTAACAGATGGTAACTTTAATTTTTAATTTAGAAACAGATACTAAAAAGTCAAAACACAATATATAAACTTTAAAATAATTTATGATAATTATTTAATCGCTTAATTTCATGACAACTACAGAAAATATTATATGACATTCGAACAATTGAATTTTTGAAATAGATAAACGTCTCTTGGAGTCATAGTGGCTGTGGTAATCACAAAATTTGACGTATAGGCTATAATTTTTTTTTGATAGGCAGTTTTTTCCTAAATAATTTTAAATATTTTTTTTCTCAAAAATGGTTAATGTTACGTAGAGAATGTATATATCAAAATTCAAAAACATTGTACAGAGAATTTAAGTATGTAATAAAAAATGAGGGTACCTATTCAAAAATAAAAAAAGTGTCAACTTCCTGTAGGTACGGAAAGTCCCACCCTAATTAAAAATATCGATAGATCATGATCGATCTCGTTCTGAATCAGTAATGTGCAAAAAATAGCCTATCTAATGCACGTTCAGCCTGGAAATATCATCTACATATAAAATAAATCCACCACCAACTTTATTTTTATAAATATAGAACTAGATTATTTTATTTTCATTTTTTAAAGATTTTGGTCTCCCAAATCCCACACCACATTTCTCAAAAAATGTTGCTTGTTTTTACACACAATCAAACTGATCTGTCTACCCATTACCTCCAGCACATTACCTCTTATGGGCATTTTCTCTATAATTTTATCATTTTTTAACTTTACCATATTTAAAATTTACAATATACAGTTAAATAAGTCTTAACCACACTTTATATTCTAAACCTATTTTTAAAATATCCACTATTTACCGTCCGTGTATTTTGTAAAAAAAAGTATGTAAATAATTATAAACGGACAATCTGATTTCAAGCTTTTTGGAATAGAGGACGAGAAATAGGAGAGATTAAAACATATAATTGTTTCATTTACTTCGCCGAATGACTGAGCAATATATCCTTCAAATATTGTTTTGCTACATGAGTACGTTACCTTAAAATATATCTAAGAAAAACAAATATTTTTTTCTCTGATTTTTCCAACCCGTTTTAACATGGAGAGAATGTGCCTGCAGCAACTGGTATAAATTTATTTGGTGCCGTTGGCTGCGAATAAATTTGAATAAAAAAAGCATAATTCAACACACTTGAAGAAAGAAAGATTTTTTAAAGGAAAGAAAGACAAATAAATCACTTTTGAAAGAAACGCAGTGTCAAGTTTTCTCCAAAAATATAAGTATATGTTAGATACCAAAGAAATTATAAGGTTGTTAATTATCGAGGGCAAAGTTAGTAAAATATGGCAATGACAATTTTAAAACGACACACATGTTGCATTTACTAATCTTCCGGTATATTTGTATTAACGCTGCTGGTTGTAACTTTATTTATTTTGCCAGGTTACTATTGTATTAAATGACCTGTTTATAAATTGAAGCGTGGACATTCAAAAGCGTCTAAGTGCCA